ATCCTTTTTTGAAACATAAACTTCTTTCGCTTCAAATAATGATAGGATAACAAGTACAGTTTAGAAGTACGAAATACTTTTAAATAAAATATATGCTAGCCTGAAGTAGAACATCGGGCTGCAAGAAGATATGCTTACTGTTGCAACACAAAACACATAAGAGAAATAATTCAATTGCTTATACCTACAATGTAAAGGTAATTCAGGAAGCTGGTAGATTCCCTAATATAGTTTGTGACGAATTAGCATTATCCTTTTACTTCGGATAGAAAATATAAAGACGCTGAAAAGCAAAAAATAATTCAAAATAAACTCTGTTCTTTTACTTGAGTCAAACACGGAATCTTCGTTACCCTATGTAGGCACGATTGCACTCTTGTATACTAGTAAGACATAAGAAGAACATCTTTAAAAGTGTGCTGCTAAATATCATGGGCTAAATGTTAAGCAAATCCTAATAATTCTTCTAAGAGTTTTTTTTCTTACTAAATTCTATACTGAAATAATTCGACTGTTTTGAATTATTGTTAAACTTTATAATATAAATAAATATTTTGTGTTTCACAATAATTATTTTTATTTTATCATACACTTTTCTGCCTGTTTTGATGTATATAAAGAAAAAGAAATGTTTAATCGGTAGTGTTATTTTGAAAGACCCAAGTTAGTAGAATAGAAATAAAAATTTGAAGCTAACTTCTTCTTTAGCAGTTACCCTGAAGTGCCACTTACAAGTGTTGCTGAACAGGAATCTTGGACTGTAGAACCCGGGGGTAGAAAGGATCATGAAAAAACATATTCTACTTAGCTTTTCAGATGTATCTAAATAACGTATTTATATTCACCAGAAACAACTCCAAATTTGTCAGCTCATGCAGCTAACATCTTGGTAAACAAATAACCTTGATATGCTTACAAATGCAATACAATAAGTTTTAACCAAACTTAATTTGCAACTGAAAGTAATATGCAAGAAAAATTCATATCAGTTACTCCGCATGTGGAGAAAACGCGCAAAGGAATATTTCTATGCTGCACGCAAAGATATGCCTGAAGAGAAAGTGTACAGTGTCATAAAAACTTTGGCAAACTATTAACCAATATATTTAATTTAATGTAAAAGTTTTTTAATTTTTTATTCAAATCATCATAGATGCATCATCGTAACAATTGTGATTGAAACTGAAATCATGGAAGAAACAAGCAATAACACCTGATTAAATAACAGAAGAAAAATAAGATTCACACTTTATCTTCTATATAGACGTTTGTGAATTAAAATATCTTAAAGCCTTGAAATTTCAATTACTAAAATTTTTAAATTATTTAAATTTATGTCCTTCAGGTTAGTTAAAAGCTAAGGATCTGAGTACGGTATTTAGAACTAAGGATCTACCAAAACAGCGGCTGATTTCAGATTGAAATGAATATCTGTAGAAAGAACTCATACCGAGGGCAATGTTCCTTAACAAATGACGTCAACGGGCAAAGAACAAAAACACTTTGCATAGTTTCACGAACGGATTCTTATTTTCATGTATCATTGAGCGCAGGAACGAGATAAAATTTCCAAAGAATGATCCGTGTCCCCGTCCACATCCATACTTATATGACCCCTTCACGAAAAATGCCAGCGCTCCAAGCCATCATAATTCAGGCGTGTTTAGGATGGCACAAGGATTTTGTACGGAACTACAAGAGCAGATATGGGTCACGTGATGCAGTGCGCATTCCTCTTATTTTTTCTTAACATTTTTCGCTGTAAAATCTAAATCTATCCCGTGCATTAGGGATAATGATGTCTCTCTACCAACCCGTATTTTCTTGACAGATGTTTTTGATAACTTGTTATTTCAACAGCTCTCTCGCTCTCGCCAACGCTCGCAAAGAGAAGTTTTCGGGCGCTATTATTCGTTGGAATCTTTTTCATCTTATTTTTTCTTTCTGTCTCTCTCTCTTTGAGAAGAAAAGAGTCTTCCACTACTGGGCAGACTACAGTGGGAGGAAGATCTGTGAACTGGCAGTTATCCGTGTATCATTTTGAATTTTCTGTAATTTGAATAAGCGAGTTGTGAGCATTCACGCGTTTTGCGTTTGAAACCAGAAGATGGCGCTCCAGTAGCTTTCCCTAATAGCAGTTGCCGTAAAAGCAATATAGTGCTGAAAGTATGTTTACAATTTCGAAATACAATAGGATTTGAAAAGGAATTTTAGGCGAAGAAGTAAATTTAAGCACACCTGGATATGTATTCTCAATATTCCTTCAACATCAAATGCAGTGATTGAAAAAAACTAAGTTCTTCGACCTTTATAATTATATTTTCATATATTGATTTCTTGGTATATACAAGATACTTCAGTTTTCATATCTTAATATATGAAAGGTATATCTATCAAAATAGTAAGTGGATATTGAGGAAGTTAAGAGGAATAAGAGATAAAGAAAAAGAGATTTTTTGACCTGTATAACGAAATAGCGTGTTGAGGTTGTGTAGGTACTGTTGGTACGTAGGTAAAGATACTCTGCTGGCGTAAATTGCCATTATCCGTGCGGCTTTCGAGAAGTATGTAGCGCTACATAAACGCTGCTGTCTCCGATTACATCTTACTTATGTGGTTGAAGAAAACGGAATAGCTGTTCAAAGGAGGTATACGGGAATCGTTCTCTGTACCTCCTTTGAGTGGCTGCTCCGTTTTAGCCTTAAGTCGATAGATAAACTACACGTCAGTGAGAATCCCATTCATGTAGCCATGCAGACAGTTTGAAATTCACATGAGGAATGACAATTTATACCAGAAGACCACTTTCCCCTGCTGTTCAAAAGCGCCTTATACCTCTTCAATGAGCCATTTCGGAGATCATTGTCTATTATACAAATCCCATTGCTTCGATACTCTCTACATTGTTGCCAAATATTTTTAAATCACCCTGTATAAATGTCAGTCATTAAAAACCTTGCAAACTTGCTTCGAATTTAGAATACTTATTTATAATTTTAAATTTTATTGCAAATGTACTTTTAATCTGTAATTGTATAAGAGCTTTAAATTAAAAAACAATGTAAGCATAAGAATGATAAAAATCACAGATATATATTATATATCAGCTTAATTCTTTTTCTTATTAAAAAATTCTATCTAAAAATTTCAAATAGCTCGATCATTCGGTCTTTGGAATTATGAGCACAGTTTTCTCCTTCTCATAGCATTGAATATGTTCGGATTGTACTTTATCTAATGTTAATTTTTTCTAGTGTAAAGATAACAAACTTGACAAAAGTATTCATTATAAAGGAATCTAGTTAGGAATACATATGCAATAACACTTCCTGAAATGAAGCTCAAAGCTCAAACAGTTCTAATTTTCTACAGAGGCGGTCGCCTTATAAAAATCATTACTCAAAATTGCAATTCTGAACTTAACTTGTTGTGTCATGTCAGTTTAATAATACCTTTATATAAATAGAGATGTAAAGATAAGTCAAAAGATAATATAGTAATAAAACGAAGCTTAGAAAGCCTTTCCTTTTAATTAAATTACTGAAATATTGCAAGGGAATAGTATTTAAAAATACAAAAATTATATCTTACAAAGAATTATTAACTCTAAATTGTGGTTATAATCCTCAAATATTTACTGATTTTCCAATGAAGTGTGCCTATTCAGTATATTCTTTGATTTAATTGTTTTGTTTTCTGAAACAATTTGAATTTAATTAAGTGCATTCAACCAAAGTATAATTTTCTATACTACAATCGAATTTGTTAACTTTAAATGCTAAAGAGATTAGAGTTTATTTCAGGAAAGCCCTGAGATTTCTTGGCTTTCTTTTTTAAGTTTTTGTCGCTTCTTCAGAGGTTGGTATTCATCTCAAAAACGTTTTTCCTTCCCAATAATTTTCAAACTAAAGCTCTACGTCCTTCTCAACATTCATTGTAATATCTAACTGTTAATCTGATTTTGTGACTTTATTTCCTTCTTGGCTTGAAAGTAACTTGTTATCTTTAACCTTTTATCTTTACCTTGTTGCATAATTTAGAGCTCTATTTAAAAAATTTTATGTGTACATCATATGAACTCCTTCTAAGAGATATTAAACTATAACAATTTTTCCTGAATTTCATTTAAACTTATTGAATTGAATTAAATCTACTTCGTCGATAGCGCATAAACCACAATAGAATAAATGCACTCTTTAAAAATTATCTATACTTATTTTCACTGTTTATTAATTTAGTGTCATTAATAATTTTCAGTGTTACACTTAAATATTTTATATACTGAACTGATTTATTACTCTTTTCTACCGAAAGTAAACATTTTGTTTTTCGTATAGAACATTTGACAGACTCGATCTGATTATAAAGCGGTTAATTTAGATAACAAAAATGTGCAGTGAAATTTCTCAAAATTGATTACCCAGTGTGAAGGATGGTCTTCTGGGGTGTTTATCACATTAAACAGTATTGTGATTTCTGTTTTTCAACTGTTCTAAAATGCTGAGCATGTTCACAGGGGTGAGAGAAAGAGAATTTGTTTTAATTTAATATTTATATTATGCTCAGAGAAACATTAATTACGTTCAGTTGTCATCTCTTAGAGATTGTCGCAATGAAAGTTTTCACTGTATTCGCAATATAAGAATGAATGCCTATTGATAAGATTTTGTATCGTTAATTTTAATTCGAAGATGACTGAAAGTCTAAACTTATGTTTAATTGTAACAGTATTAAGATAATAACTCCATTGGGGCAGTAATAAAAAACGTTTTTAAAACATAATTAAATTTATTTCAGTCATTTATGAGTTTTTACAAAATTAATTAATTTAGCCCCTTTATAAATGTTATTTATATAATATTTATAGCTCATAGTAATGCACATTTAATAGGAAAAAGACGAATCCATAAAGAATACTGTTTGCGATTCAGATTTAAAGATCCATATGTTACTAACTATTGAAAATTTTGTAGTTTGATATTGTTTTCTTCTTTCTAAAGCAGGTGATCTTCCCAAACTTCTGTGGCCATAAATGAATTGAATGAATCAGATAAGATATGAGAAGAACCAAAAATTTGTCTTAAGAGGTATAAGTATTCTACTTATAATTTTCTGCAGAATGTTTTGCCTGATTCTACTTTTGTCATGCATTTGCAGAAATGAAAGAAATATTTCATTTTATTATTAAAACATATTTAAAAAATTTTAGCAAATTACATTCAGCTTACGAATTTCACCCCATTTTGTTGTATTTAAAGGACTATAAAAAGCATATTTAATAGCATTTTCTGTTGCAAACTTTTGGCGCATGTATCGTCGTAGATTATTGAAACGTAAATCTCGTGGGGAATTAATACCCTTACACTATCTGATTCTGATGCTGAGTACTACTGATGCTGATACAATTGCGACAAATATACAGAAATATTTCTGAAGCATAGAAATTTATATATATATATATATACATTTTTGTAGCTGAGAGGTATAATCATAGCCTCTGTAAAATGAAAAATCCAATGCATCACATATTCTTCCAAACGACATTACGACGACTTCCAAAAGATGATATTTTTATCTGAGGACACTATAAGAAAAATTAAATCAAACTATTAAAGTTAATTTTAAAAATTAAATTAAAAAAGTTTAAAATAATTGAAAAAGTTCATATTTTAATGAATACCGAAAAGGATTTGTTAAGGTTTTTTACGCTTTCTCTGAGCTCATAGTCTACCAATCTGCGGTTGCACTCATTCCATCTAGCTTTACTATTAAGCACCATTTTTTCAATAAAATTACAAAAATTTTAAATGCAGCATAGCAGCATACGCCACATAAAACACAATTCAGCAGCAAAATCACAAAATATTTAAAAATAACATACCTTTAGAATTTCCGACAAATACTTTATCCGGTTGTTATTGCTGCTGTCCAACAATTCTAAAATGCTGAGCATGTGTCACAGGGGGTGAGAGTTTAGTAAATCTAAAGTGGGATCAGTTGAAAAAGAATTTATTTTAATTTAATATTTATATTATGTTTAGAGAAACATTAATTACGTTCAATTGTCATCTCTTAGAGATTGTCGCAGTGAAAGATTTCTTTGTAATCGCAATATAAGATTGAATGTCTCTTGATAAAATTTTGTACCGTTGATTTTAATTCAAAGATGACTGAAAGTTTAAATTGATGTTTAATTGTACTTTCAAATCATAGAGTTTGTTAATCAGAAGTTCATTAAAGTTTCACAATATATGAAATATAAAATTCGGTTTTCCAAGTGCAACTGTGCGGAGGGAGAAAAAAGTGGTTCAAAATTTAATGCCTCTAGGTACCATCGTTTTTTTTTACAGTGTGATGAACATACATATATACATGCAGAATTTCATTATTTAATTTCTAAGGCGATTGTGGCAGCAATCTGAAAAGTCATTCATCGTTTATAGTGGACAGTGCAAAATTTCGTTTCGAGACCATTCGAGCTAACTTCCTTCTGATTCATAAAAATAAATTTCAGTAGAATTTTTATATGTAAACAGAAATAAAAATATCGGATTTTAATTAGGATAACAACAGCAATAGAAACATTAAAAATAGAATTTTCTTGATCTCAGTGATCTAATTAGTTTATGTCATTGTGTAAAGACTCATAATTCCATGATTATAAATTACAGAAAGAATAGTTAGGAGCATCGTAAATTTTTCATATTTTTTCCTGCATTCTTCCTTTTCTTCACTATTTTAATAGATTTTTCTTTATTTGATTTTATTATTTTTTTCAAAGTTTCTCAGAAACAATTTTAATGTTTCTGAGTTTCTGAGTTAGCTGTTAGTGTCATATGAAAAAAACATAGTAAGGTAAAGAAGTTATTGGATAGCTGCCGCTTTACTTATTTCTTTGTAGCTTTTAATTGAATCACGCCGCTCAGGTGGCATAGTTGTTAGCGGCGCCGACTGCCATACGGAAGGGCTTTGGTTCGAATCCCGTAGAAGACATGATTGTAACTGTCCGTTCCTTCGTAGGAGGCACAAGTAGCCTTTATAATAAAATCCCCACAGCTTCTGACCTTAGTAGTAGCCAATGTCTGTGATGAATGTCTTATGCCCGCTATGGGAAACAAAAATTAATTACTCCTTTGAATCTTAATTCAACATTACCATTTTAGTTTTATATTTCATTTCTTTCATTGCATAATACTTTTCGTTTTTCGTTTGGTTTTATCTAAGCATCTAAGTATTTTCTATTGTTTGGATTAATTTCTAGAACAAAATAGTTCTAAATGTTATTCTAATTTCTTCCGAATAACTTTTTTGCCCATTTAAATTTATTTTAAAAGTTGTTTCTCACTTCAAGCGTCGAAATATCATAGTGGAATATAATATTTGCTGATGTGTATTTTGCCTCACTGAGTAATTATAGGCAAATTCATTTTTAGGCAATTTATTAATTTATTCCTTTTCTGATTTATAGTAGAAACACTAACTATTGTACCATTAGTTTATTCTATACAAATATATGCTTATAATGTAGTCATAAATATTTGTATATTTACAGGAACTGGACAGAAAGTTGATAATGCAGCGCATAAGTAGTAGGATTAAGGATAAAAATAATAAACCTAAACTTGATCTAGGTATTTTATTTATTACTTCTGAAAACATGAACATCAAAAACTGAAATAAAGCATAGATGTTCAATCCAAATGATGGACATACTTTTCACTCCTGTAAAATATCAGATTTTTAGCATAAATTTACTCGCCTTTTTAACGGACAAAATCCCCTCTTCCTCCCCCATATTGTGCATATATATATTAAATCTCATGTAAAGCTTTTTTTATCAGATTCAGATTATTTAAAAAGCGTGGAAGTAACATTAAACCTTTCACTGGAAGAAATGAAAAGGTTTATGTTATGCCTATTGTTCGCGTTATGATATCTGAAACAAAATAATATATTTTCCATTATCCACTTAGTTATCTACAACGATGTATGTAACCTGTGCATACAATAGAGCTATTATCTAAAGTGGGATCAGTTGAAAAAGTCATCGGCTCCCTTTTTGTGAACAAAGCATGGTACTCAATTTTATCAATAATGATATGAGAGGGTTTGAATGCAGGTGACCCAGGTGGAAGCATCACCTGCAATTTGCATGGGTTTGTTCATTTCGTGATATTCTAATTCTCTTATCTTTGTTTGTACTGAACATAATTTTTAACTAGTTCAAAAGGCCATGAGAAAACCAGAAAAATAATTCATAAATGTATTAAAAACCCTACCTTGAGCACCTGGTATCTCTGTTACACTCTGTTAATTCTGGTCACCTAACAAAATAATCTCAGGAAATATATTACGGCAAAATAAAAGTCCTTCTAAATTGGTAAATGTAAAGAAATTGCGCTCACCTATTATAAATGTAGTGTAACAAACTTCATTAAAGCATTTTATTTAAAAATAAATATATTAAATATCGCAGTTTAACAGACGTTTAGGAGAAACTAACTACTATTTGATGTACGTTTAATAGAATCTGAAACTTTTGACTCCAACCTTGGTGGAAGATACTATTTTTAACTGATTGTGTATTGCTGATATTGATTTGAATATTGAATTTAACTAGTTGATCTTAAATTACATAATTTAAAACCCGTACTTAATTAAATAATCTTAATTTATAGAACTTGATTTTAAGGAAATTGATAATTTTTAATTGATATTAATTGGCGAAAATGACGCTGATCTTGAAGACAGCTAATTTTACTAATTTTAGCTAAATAAGAAGAGTCTGATTTATTGCATGGTCTTCACAAGCACAGCACATGGTCTTCGCTGTATTATTTTAGAGATATAGCTTTCAGGAGTTTGACAATTATTCCTTCTAATTGTTGTTCTTCCTATTGTCCCTTGATAATTCGAAGAGCTCACATTTTAAAGGAATATCAACTTTTGCCGATAGCTTTTTCGAGTTTTTTCTCCTTAAGAAAAATGGACTCCAAGCCAGTCTCTTTCGAAACAGAATATTTCTATAAAATCGATTTCATTTAAAGTTTCATTTTGTCCAAGTTTCATATTAATATGACAAGCGAATAATAATGAATACAGATGTATAATTTTTGGCTTCGTTTTGCATGATAAAAAAGAACAAAAATATTATGTTACAGAACAAAAGAAAACGTCATAGAATCATATCTTTTATACTTGAGGAAAATTTCCTTGTCTTCATTGAAAGATTGTAACGTAGTGAACATTATTGTGTACGTACGGTTCGTAATAATTTGAATGCACACAGAACCGCCGATAAGATGATAAAATTTACTTTATCAAAAGAAACACTTCATTGTTCTGGAATTTTCCACAAAAATACTCATACTGCTGTTCTTAGTATTACAAAGCACAATCAGTAGTAAAAATTACTATTATCGTTAAACACAACACAATAGAAAACGCATCTAAAAGGCGAAGCCCTCAAGGAAATCTCAATACTCGGAATTCAGCTATGAACGTACAATTGAGAAACCGATGTTGTCCCCCGTTTTATATAGTTTACCCCCAGCCGCCGAAAAATCTCTAGTTCCTTCCACTTCTCGAAATTGCTGGAAGGTATGTGAGGGCCGGATATGGTTAGAGTCGTACAGAGGTTCAATTACAATTATTCATCTACAATACTCATTACTAATATACAAGGACCGGACTCAAATGTCGCCATATGCTTGCCAAATTGGTGACATTTGGCAATTTATCGCCATATTTTGTGACAAAACTAGTCTCCAAAACCATCGCTAGCTTGGCGATATCACCCCGATTTAGAGAGATAGCCATTTACTGAATGTTAAGTAGACTTAACATTCAGTAAATATTCTTTTTTTTTTCGCTGTATTCTTTTTTTTTTTCTTTGAAAGAGCATTTTTCTCTTCCAAGCATTTCATGTTGCATTATACAAAAAATAATACAATTTCGCATGTAGTTTCACTTCAATTATTTACATACATACAAAATTCGAAACAATATGAAATTGATGGTTAGCGAAAAAATGATCATTAATTTCTTATATTGAATTCATTATACTATTTGAGCAGTCATTTATTGATTCTATATTGTATGTTGGGTGTGTACGTTATTTTATACGTTGTACCAGTAGTGTATGGTTTGCTTCCATTTCACTGAAATTTAGGACAAACTGTTAAATATACTGAAAAAAAAAAAAAAAAAAAAAAAAAAAGCTAAGAAGAAAATTTTTTCTTAAAACATACCTAAAGCATATTTTCTTCTGAAGCAAATTCATCTCCCTTACGAACTTTCAAAAAAGAATCACTATTTTGCCTAATTTTGTGAGGACTGTTTTGTGCCAATCAAAGCCTTCTGCATAAGCATAATGCAATACTCGTAGAATGCCAGACAGATTTATGAAGAAGGAACATGTTAATCAAGCAGAACTCCTTTTAATGAAGTGCAACGAATCAATGGCCTTTTAATATTTTTATCATTTCATTGCACCAAAAAGAAAAAAATAACGTTAAGGTCCTTTAAAAATTTTGCGAGATTACAAAAAAGTAATGCATTCAGAGCCACCGTTTTATTTTTGACATGAATAACATGTTATCGTAATATATGTCCTAATAAACCGGATTCCTGGAATAACTCTGCCAAATGAAACTGCAAAAAGAGCCAAATTTAACAAGTAACGTAGCACTCCTCATATTTTTAAATAACGAGCGCTGCCAATAGAAGCACAAAAATAAAATCGCTGAAAAAGTACCCGGCTGTAAGAAATAGATCAGACAGTACGACATGCCAATACGCGGTATTTCACGTAAAAATAAAATAAAATAATAAAAACAAAACAAAAAAAAATTCGGTTCCCTCCCCATTATCGTTAGATACCAGGGAATGAAATAAATTCTCGTTTTTATAGGCGCTTTGGGATATCTAAAAACTAGGATCTGAAATATCGGAAAAGTGTTTCGCTGAGCGAGAAGTAATGTTTTAAAATTATTTTCTTTCTTTTGTTTTTCATAGTTTTCTGCTTCTTTTCTTGAAGAGGAATGAGCATTTTTAAGTCCTTTTATTGGAGCTCACAGCGCTATCATCCAAGCATTTTGAAAAACACGTTTTATATAAGGTATTAATTATAAATTCTAAACACTAACAATAACTCTGCGCTTTTCTCAGGTTTTGTTGCTTTTTTCACTCACGACTGTTTTTGATCGATGAAATTTTCGTCTCTCGTTTTATTACGTTTGCTGGAAAAACCCACTTTAGTAGAGAAAGTTGTAACGCGTTTTATAAAATTTCCAGCGATTTTTAAAACTTTGCAGAATATTCCCTTATTTTTATTATCCAGTTAATTTCATGCCAATTAGCTTTTCTGTCTTTCTTGCTTTCCATTTTCCTGCCAGAATGCTAATTTCTAGTTCGCTTATTCAAATGAGTTAGAAAGAGATAGCATTTAAAGGAAGACTTGGATTGTAGAATCAGAGGATATTCCGTCTGCTGAATGCTACGTTTGCTACTTGATGTTCTTGAGAGCAATTTATCTACGGCGTTGCATTATTCTCTCCATTAGGCTTGTCACACCGACATTCGGGTTTTGAGTCAGTTTGCGCGTATTTTGCCTGTGTAGCCTTTTTGAATAACTTACGATCAATTTAGTTTAATTTCAGATCCCTTATATTTTTATTTAGGCAATAAATGCTGGCTGCTAGTTTAAGTAATTTAAAAATATATAATTCTTGCTGATTTTTTCTGCAAAACTTGACGGAAAACTTTTACTTATATCACAAAGTAAATTTTAATTCCCAATTATTCTCTGTAGTAATTATTGACTCATTAATTTATTGGCATTGGATAGACTCTGCTTTTTGACATTATTTAATAAGAATTTAATATTAAAGGAAACATAAATTATTTGAATTCAAATTCAGAATAAAGCTTGCTTCATTTGAAAAGTAGATCTTTGCTTTTTTGACATTATTTAATAAGCATTAAATTTTCAAGCATTATTTTTCCAGCATTTAAAAGTTAATTTAATTTAGTGCAAATTTGTATTTTCTTAATCAAATGAATTAAAAAGTAGCTTAATTAGTTTTTGTTATTGAGAATATCTTCTCTTCAAGGAACTATATTAAAGGAAACAATAAAGATTGCTTGATTTGAAAGCTAGATCTCTGCTCTTTTACATTATTTAATAAGCATTAAATATTTTTTGTTTGATTTATATGACTACGGCAAAGCCTCGAGGGCTATCTGCTTAAGGGGACGGATGACTTCGTGGAGGACTTTCTAAGGGAAATTGGCTCGGGTATGCGTTACACAAGGAGAAAACCACGAAAACTCCCATGCAGCCGGACTGTTCGCCGGGATTCGAACTGAACTACCAGTGTTCAACGCTCGGCCGCTAGTGGGCCAACTTTTTTAAAGAAAATATTTATTTACTTCGTTTCATTTGTACAGCATTCAAATAAATTGCAATTTTTAATTTGAATTTTTATTCTGTTATAAAATATAAGATTCCTTATTATTTTGTAATTAATTTGACTTTTGTTAAACTTTTTGTACATTATGTATATTAAAGTGAAATGTTTGTTTTTCAGTTATCAAACCGAAGAAGGAGGATTCATCTGCCTTTTGTTCATCAGTTGCCTTAACGCTTGAATAAAATGCGAATTTCTCATGTAATGAAATGTATGAACATTTCATATTAAAATATTTTGGTAGAAAAAGAAGAAATTTAACACTGCAGCAATAACAAAATTGTGTACATTTTACAATGTAGTTTTGATGTACCTTATTGAGATCTTGTAAAAATGTTTTATATTTAATAAAATTTTTCGTAATACTGGAAGCTTAATATTTAAATTATGTATGCTTTGTATTTAAGGAAGTAAAACAAATTGTGAAAATTAAGTTACAAAATTCAGTGATTCAGTTCATATTTTATTTTAGTACCATACATTTTAAACTGTGACAATTTTAGTTTTGCATAACTGCTTTACATTTGCCACTACGGTGCCAAAGTTCTATTTTTAGTGCCTACATTTAATGCTCGAGCCTCTAGAAGATCTTAATTTAGCTTAAATGGCTATTGCATTTGATTCAAAACATTTTATTCAAACTAGTGTCAGAAAAATAGGGTGACATTTGGTTTTCATTATCGACTATTAAGTATTGAGAAACAAAACCTTAAAATCAACTGACAACAAAAGTAACATTGGAAATGATTTCTTACTTAGAATTGATACCGTAACTTGGAGACGTTATGATTTAATTTGTATAGACAACGCCTATTAATGAATTATTTTCTAATTTTATGTATCTGAAATATTGTTTTCCATAAAACATCTAAAAGTGTCAAGAGTTTTCAAGTGTAATTATTTGGACAACTATTAAACTACAACAAATAAAAGAAAATCTGAAAGGTTTCAGATTTTATGTTACGTCCAAAGGGGCGTTTTTATAAAATTTTGTGTATTACCTTTATTTATTAAATATCATGTTCTTTCTACTTAAACCGTAAAACTCAGTTCAATAGCAATGTCGCAAAATAATTTTAAAATGAGTCTAGTTTTAGAATTTACGATGCACAGTTCCGCACGCTGGAGATAAAAAGGTTTTTTTTCCCCGTAGAGTGTTGCCATTGTTCGCTTTGAAATCCTTGAGTTTGTTAATCAAAAATTCGTTAAAATTAAAAAAAAATATATTAAATCGATGATAAAACAAATTCCGAATTTAAAATTTGGTCTTTAACATGCCATATTCGTAGGAGGATTACGTTATTCAAAATTCGATGGCTCTATGTACCGTTGTTTTATCACAATGGAAGAAAGCAAAATCGCAAAACGAAAACAATAGTCCTTCAGGGACAATGCCCCTTTGGTCTAACAGTTTTGTAGTCCATATTTTATTTGATCCTTATAATTTTTGTGCATTTTCATTCTGAAATTTCTCCATAAACTTTTCTTGTTTTAAAAACGCAATTCTACATGAAAGATAAACTACACCAAATGTAGAGGCAAAATCATAAGATAGACTGTGCGCTTAAAAAAATACAACTTTATATCTCCTGTTCTACCAGGCTTGATTAACGAAATTTAACTCGCGTTTTCCATGTGTAGAAAACGCGACTTACGATGTACTTGTATGTTAGATTTATATATAACATTAGTCTTCTAGCATGTGATGAAAATTTGTATATATGAGTACGTGATTAAAATATAGCATTATTCTAACATAGTATTCTGACACAAAAGCGGACTTTTCTTAAAATAACATAAACATTATTTTCCATATTTCGATTATACGACTTATGCCAAAGGGCCAAGTTTTGTAAAAATCACAAGAGTAGCTTTTTTAAAAGCTAGCTCTCTAAATTTAAAGAGCTTTTTAAATTTTTAGTTCTTATATGTTAATGGAATTTGATGTATAGTTATTAATAGCTCTTTTTTAATTGAACTGACTTGATTTCTTCTTTCACAGTTTGAACTTTGGGTTCCTTCGAAATAAAATTCGCTGATATTTTCTCATTTATTTTTAAGATCTGTGTTTTTAGTAAAAACGTTTTGAATAACCTATACAATTTTTACCTTCAACCTTAAAGCAGCTGTATTTCTAGGCATACCTGTAAAAAATTAGAATTTGTTTTCCGAAATTTCCGTGATAGATTCACGTATAAGATGTACGTGAATTTATATATTGCCGCGTTTTGAAATTTGGCATATATAAGCGATAATAACGCCAAATGTGATTGACTCACTTTGTTAACAATGTTTGAAGGAATTAATGATGCAACGATTTTTTCTACTTCTTTTACAATGAAACTAAAGGGAGACGAAAAATAGATTACTATAAATTAAGAATTTCACCAAGTAAATTATTCTTGGCACAAACTGATAAAAAGTGCTCCGAGATAAATTTTTAAATTTCTGTGTATGTATTTCTGTAAATTTCCTAAAAATGTGTTCCTTATAAAATTTTTTAAAACTTAATATTTGGATGTAATTAGAGTCGTAGAATCGAAATATGGAAAAATGTCGTGTGCCATTTCAAAAAAGTCTGATTTTTGTGTCAGAATACTTCTATTAGAACAATTCTATATATAAATCTAATATATATGCCAAGTTGAGCTTTCGGGTCATTAAATCTCAAATTAAATTTCCTGAAGCGGTTCTATAAAACGGGACATATAAAGCTATCCCATTTAATGTGTGAGTGCAGAATGTGCATCGTTTAAGCATTATTTAAAGCAGACTGTTCAATAAAGAACGAGAATGGTATTTTTCCCCGAAATTGTGTCTGAGCTACGTAAACTGGAATTACATTTGAGTAATTCCATATCTATCGAAAGGCAGTAAGGTGTATTAATTCCAATGCTATGCACAGAATTAAAGTAAACGTTTTCAGTGTGACTTGAGCCACAATGGATGCTGTTCACAAATTGTAATAAGTAGCCATAAAATTCTTTTTGCGCTTGGGTAAGAAGTAACAGAAACACATGAAATAGTCCAAGGAATGCATAATGAGGGACACTGCCCGGTGCAACCACACTTCGTGGTTCAAGGACTTCTTACAAAATATACGATCAAGAGAAAAGATAAAAGGTATATATTGTACCTAACTCCTCCGAAAGGAAACGTTAAGGGCAGTGGTATTCTACAAGTTTTAATAAAACCACATGAGATATCTAAAAGAAACGTTAGAACTGCATTCTCTTTTTTTCAATCCTTCGTCAAGGTATTTCTCCCGCCTTCGTGGTGTACTGGTTCTGCACGCTGGGCCGGTATTCCAGAGGTCCGGGGTTTGATTCCCGGCGAAGGCGTTGTTAATTTTTCATCTCTCCGGCTTTTCCAATTAACCTAATGTCTCTGTAAGGATAACTCAAGTTTCACTTGGCAGACATTGAGTCACCTAATTTGTATAACAATACCACTGAGTGTGTTAATTATTATATGATTCTGATCTGCTCATGTGAGGCTTATGTTTCCCGACACTAGAGTTACAACTATACGAGGAAGACATTTGCCATAATCCTTCAGTTAGGACATCAGTTATTGAAATTACTTTGTAAACAACCACTGTAGCAAAGAATAAATATAAAACGCAGTTATGGAAAAAAATTAGCATCATTCATCGCTGGATATCTTAACGTATTGAAGCTATTGAAAAATGTTACTGTTCATGAGATGAAAATTGCATGGATGATGTCAACGGCAAATAATTTGAGAAATTAATATTTTTGCAGCTCTTTTAAGTAAAATTAAATTTTACCTAGATAAAATGATAATTTTATAAAGCAAATTTAAAATTAAATTATTTTTTATTCCTCTAAAAGGTCTTAGAATTAGTTTAAATACTTTTGGTAATAAAGCTACAATATAAATGTTCTTTCTAATTTTACACTGAAGGATGATCCGTGTATCTTAGAATAGGATTTTTTTAATAATTCTCATTCCGGTCTCTTTCCAGACCTTTTATTGAAAACCCTACTTCTTTACTTTTAGTTTAGTATTAAAAAATCTTTTCAGAGAGAGTTTACATTAGTATCAAGAAAGAATTTGACTTTTTTGACTAAAACTATTCAAAAAAAGCTTGTAATTTACTGAATTTAATTTTTCTTTAAATATCTAAATTGTTTCGCACACTGAGAAAAGAGATTAAAACATCATCGTAAGTAATTAAAAAAATTAGTGGTATTTAAAAAGAAGATATTGATAAAAAGAAGAAGTATTTTATTTTCTTAAAATGCAATATGTCAGTTCCTAGCCTTGTTTTGTAGAGATATGATGCTTTTTACAGATAGACAGATTTTTAGCAGGAATTCAAAAAACAAAATTAAGTATTTTTAGAAATGTCCAATAAGCTCACCGCACTGAATCCGCTTCGAGTATTTGCTATATGCAATTCAAAACACCAAAGCCTTAAAGCTGTAAACAGAGTCAAATAAAAATGCATGAATAACACAAATCGTAGTTTGTACCATGATAGTTTTTGTTATTTTTTTTTCTTTACCGAATTCCTTTTATAATGGTTCTTTCAAAGGCTTATTTCCAATAAGATGAGCCAGCCCTAAGGATAGGGATATATGCTCAAACAAGCTATTGGATGCATCCTATGGACATCCGGGTACATGAAGAGAAACGAATGAAAGGTATTGAGAGAAGATAAGATGGGATGCAAGAAATAAATAGCTTTCTTTCTATTCTTTTCTTATTATGTCTAATGTAAAAGAGTGCAGTCCAGTTTATTTGTATACCAGGATCAATATTCGAAAAATTCAGTTCTCTCTCTTTCGACGTTTTTGGAAGGTAGAATTGTTGGAACCGCTGTGGACGTTGGGTAAGCGGCCCCACCTACTTGATCTTAAGGCGGTATGGGAAAAATATTTATTTTCCTGGTTTGGGCAGCGCTGCATTTGAGTCCGAGATAAACAAGTTCCGTGATGTCTAGAGTCAAATTTGAATTTTTTCAAGGCAGGCAAAGGGGCTGAAGCGAGTGCTTCGTCGATGCTTTGGCGTCCATGGATTGAAAAAATGCAAATTTTACAATGACCAGAGGCACAACTGGGTAAATCCGCCTTGTGCGAAATACGAAATGTGTATATATAAACCTGTCAGAATACGAAAATTGAAAATATGTGGAGATTTTTCACTTTTGAGCTATATTTGAGAATGTAATGATTTTACAAACAAATAAATATTTCCACCAGATGACATAATCCTACTTTAACATTTTACTAATCTTATATGTTTAATAGATTTTAAACAATATTCCTTTAAAATAAATTTGCATTTTCCAACAAAAATAATTTTTGTATCAATTTATATTTAAA